CTCGCCACAGGGGTCGATATCTTATCATTGCAATGAGAGAGAGTAATAAGCAAATATGAACACAAAAATGAAACGTACCATTCGTGGCGGTAACAATCATGGGCCCGGCGACGGCCTTGGTTTCCATACGGCTCGATGGGCACTAAAATGTGGCGATTTCACAAAGTTGGCCGCTTGCTTCGTCGAGCCGTTGAGCAGTGCAGGCTGGACTTCCATGAGAATTGCCCTTTGTGGCTCGGCGTGTGGGGGTATAGTTGATTTAGTTCGCCGGCTCCGAGCATAAGATGTTGTCGATTTTGTAACTGATGATGAGGAATTGGACGCGGGCTGTGAAGATTTCATGGTCATCCCCTTGATAATTTCGCGAAGTTCCTTGTCGTCATTGCATATCTGCGCTTTTATATAATTTGGATCTCGGGAGCTCTGTAAGGAAGACAGGACGGGTTTTCGGGGGGTGTAGTGGTATTTTTCTGGGGTAGGAAGGCTAGTAGGTTCAATGGAAGGATCCAACTGGGCCTCGAAACCTTTTTTGAGGAGGTTTTCGATATCCAAGCTTTCACCGTGGGGTATTTTGTTGGGGTGAGACGGGGTAACGCAATCCATGTCAACCTCCTTTCTCAGCACCGTATCAATATCAACAGCAGAGAAATAAGCACATGACTGAGGGAGGTCATCAATCCCCATCTCTTGCGAGAACATAGCTCGAGTCCAGAGGTTCGCAACCTGTAACGCCATCGCGGCGCGGTACTTGTCATGTTCTTTAACCAAATATCTGATTTCATCGTGGACAGTAATTGCAAGACGTGCGTCCAAATTGAATCGCCGAATAAGGAAGTCCATGGAGATGATGAGCAGGTGCAAATAGTCCACACCAGATGATTGAATCGCCCAGTTTATTCGCGATGTCATGAAGCTTCCCTTGTTGATGAAGCGGCGCATGAGGGCTTCTGTGATACCTGCTCCAAGTACAGGCGTCCTCGGTCTCTCTTGTTCCGCGAACTCTTCAAGCTTATTGAATACGAATGATTCGGTGCCTCCCCTCCAAAAAGGGTTGTCACTCAATATCTTTCGATTGGTTCGGGTACCCTTGGTTTCCTTGTATAGATTCGCAGCAACCCGTTTTGTCTCTTGTTCTGACATAGAAGGGTTAAATTGGCGAAGGAGCGTGGCTGCAAATTTGAGGCCTGCTCCATAAATTCGGCCATAATTGAAAACTTTGGCATCGTTCCGAGAGATTCCCAGGATGTTCGCCGTTTTCGAATGTAAATCTGTACCAGCTGATTTTGTCCCTTCCAGTGTCATGAAGCCGATGGCGTTTCCTCCGTGAATCTGAAACTGTGCGTCCCCCACAAGGCTGGCAATCCAGAGCTCCTCAGAATCCACGTCTGCGCCAACAAAAACATAGCCTGGGGGTGCCCTGACCATGGCTTTAAGCTCGGATCCCACCCTATTAGCTTTAGCGTTGCTCGCAGTTAGCCAGGTGTTTTCCACCGCTCGTCGAGTAATAGTGCCCATTGGGATAATTTGCGGTAATATATAGCCCTGCTTCAAGGTGGAATTCGATGACGATTTGTTTTGAAGTCGTTCGATGTCGTTGTGATAAACTACCATCTGGCTCATAATTCTGTCCCTCGCACTGATCCAGTAAGAACACGAAGCGTTCATTTCCAATGCTTCCTTAGCTAGGGCAAATTGGGAGGAAAGTTTTCCTCCTTCAAAATACTGTAAATACCCTTTCGCAAGCGGACTCGAGCAGCGAGCGTCGGGTCCATCCTTGTGTGGGAGTTTAAAATATAAATGCTCTCTATCATCTCGAAGACTAAGATTCTTCTCTTCAGCCATGTTACATGGGGCAACTGCCTGGTTCTCGAAGTTCTTTATTTCTCCTTTGGGAACCTGGAAAGTCCATCCATGTACATCCGACCAAACAAGTGGGTATCCAAGCCATGAGAGTTTCAAGAGAATTGGTGCCAAACGTGTGCGAACACTCAGGTTAATAGCGGAGGTGCTTGTCGGAAAGAGGGCTTTGTACCATTTTGGCATTCCAGGCATTTTCTGTCTTGCAGCAGGTCGAGGAGGGTCACCCTTCTTCCTCCCTTTAACCATTCTTATTTCCTGTCCGGACCAGTCCAATTGCCGTAACCATGGGTCATTCTCGTATACTTCGGGTTTATCCTTCACGGCTAACGCATTGTCGCAAAGTTCCACCAGCCGCTTCTGTACATATTCCAGGCGGCGTTGATAGGTCTCCTCCGCATTTTTCAAGTATTCGTCCCAGGTATTGTTTACAGGCAAAATAACAGAGGAAAGGTGTTGCAAAGCTCCAAAACTAACCGGATGCGGGCATACCTCTAAAAAGTTGGGGAAAACCTGTTTGTAAACACGATGGGTAATCGAGACATCGGCTGCACAATAATCTAGAAGCTCGTCGAGTCGCTCCAGGATACCAGAGCGATCGAGATCACCGAAATGATCCCGCTGGGCTTTATCTATTGTAACATTGCAGTGGAATTTAGCAACGTCACGTAATGAGTTGACCGAGCTCCTGCCTACCCAGAGCTCTTCCTCTTCTTCTGTAAGCAGTTTGTTCTCAAGAAGCGCGGCAAGTTCAATCGAATTATTTTCTTTGAGGAGTTTATCCCTAAGGTCTCGATTTTTCCTATGCCGCATCCAGGTGGGCCGCTGTTGGGAGCACATCCCGTTAACGGCAACGTGAAGGGACATAGTATCAATGAAGAAGTTGCGGGTCTTCTTGATGTTGTATTCTTCCAAAGTCCTTGCACGGTCATATCCAACATTGTGCCCGACAATGATTCGGGCTTGAGATGGAGAACCAAGCGGAATAAGCTGTCGTTCGTTTTCTGTCTCGCCGAGAAGATAAGGTGACAACCAGGCATACCATGCACTAGGACTCGCCGCACACGCCATTACCGCAAACGAAGAATCTTTCCACATTACTTCGGTGTCAAATGTTATCATCTCTTCGTTGGGTGCATCAACAGCCTCGCTTGTCCCATTAGCATTATATTTCGTCCATCCACTCCTCCTGATCCACTTTTTCGGTATGGGCGGGAGATCAATCTTTGCATATTGTTTTGCATTTGTCAAGTAAGGTTCTGAACAATCCATTCCTAATTTGTAAAAATGCTCATCCATCGTTTGACCTTCGAGAGGGGGAATATCAAAGGCAATTGGGTTCGAGCCTTCCTGAGTTTTACCAAGCAAATCATGGCGAGAAAGATGATCCTTTGAAAGCTCGATTAATTCCGGATTGGGGGGAGTGGGTTCCCGTAGAAAGATTTGCGAGTGGACATGGCTGCTTAACTGCTGGACCCCGATTTCATTAAAGCGGGCGGTGGAGGGAACTAGAAATATGTCGTGAGCGAGGCAGTCATTCATTGAGATAAAACATAGCGCAAACATACCTGCTAGTGTCTGCAGTTTTTCCCCCACACCAGGGGAAGCAGACGCTTCGGCAGTATACCATCGGAAGTCCAAACGTTGATGTCTGGTGGTCTGGGCTAAAACTGGTAGGCGGAGAGGTTTTGAGGATATCCGAAGCACGCCCCTCGAGGTTGCGCATGACGACAGGAGCATCCTTATGCGATGAGACGAGCTCCAGCTACAATGACATGGTGCAAACGCGCAAGTGAACAGACATCACCCTAACTGTTGGCATCCTGTGACGTTTATGAGCGCTTGTCGGAATAATAATGTTCCGCAATATCCCCAAATCAACCGCCAGATCTCTGTTCATTGTTGATTGTTCATCAAAAACTCACCTCTCCCCATAATTTACTACACTCCTTGGCCTGGCTGTCCTCGCTTGCTGTCCGCCTTTCTTCGGAGCCAACAATCTAAAGTTTCCGTCGTCGTTCATTCTCCCCACTCTTGTTCTGCCTGTTGGTCCTATTAACTCTCTCCGAGAAAATTTCCAGGACTCCCGGACAAGGCTCACCTTCTCCTTTGACTGCTCTCCGGGAAAAGTTACCGGAACTCCAAATTTCCCGTATTTAGTTATTGGTTCATATTGAATGTCTTGTCCCACGAAACCTTAGCAGACTTCTCCCCACTTGCTGTACTTGTATTATGTCCAAGCTGGAATTTCAGCAACCGAAGCACCAGCACCCGAAGCACCAGCACCGACAGAGCTCCTGTTCAGATGCACGTATACAATAATACAGCCTAGGATTTGTCGTGTGATTAGGGACAATTTTCGTCGGTCGTCACCACCAGCTGGATTCGCCTTTCATCTTCAGCCACCGTATAAATTGGTTGAGCCTCATGCTCCTTGTTCACCCCGGCTCGACTCGACCTGTGGTAAACTTGTGCGGATTGGAGATCTTAAATATTTTCGTGGCCACTCATAATCTGAATTAGGGAATTCAAAGTTCGCATTCCACACTCTCTTTTCGCATGGCCAGGTTTTCTACGGGACTATTCTGGACGAAGTAACGCTGCAATCAAATTTAGTCATCAACAACCATACATTTTCCTCTATCATCTTACTTCCACCCATGAATAGCGATTCTTTTGTTGACCTTACTACCTCTTCGCCGCCACCTTTCGCGGATCAAAACTCGTCGAGCATGTATGTTTTCCGGGCGAGTAGCCCACGATCATTCGCTGTCATGGAAAGAGGCCCATCCCCTAAAAGACGACGAGTTGACACTTCTTCTGTCGCCGGGCCCTCGGCGCACCAAACACGGCATCACAACCAGGTCAGCAGTTTAGATAACGATACAGACATCGAGTCGATCGATCTCACGGAGGTAAACGACAAGGTATCTCTGGCTAAGGTTCTTTCGAAACAACGCGAAGATGCCGTAAAGGCTCAAAATACAGTGGTTGGTGCTGTAGGCCGATCAACGCTGATAACGTACAAGTGTCCTGTTTGTATGGATACTTGTGTTGACGCCACATCTACCATTTGTGGTATGTACCTTGCCTCTAACTCGATCAAGAACCAATGAATCAACCCAATCTAATATGCGTCTGCTCTAGGCCATCTCTTCTGTCACAAATGCATCACCGACACCCTTCGATTTGGCGAAGAAAGAAGTGTGCATGATGGCCATGGTAAGGCACCTCGTGGCCGGTGCCCTGTCTGTCGTCAAACACTTTCGCGCATAGATACTTATGGACCGAAACGAAACCTTGTTCCTCTCCAATTGAATCTTTTGACAAGAAAGGATCCTAAAATCCGGTAGTGGAACATTCTAATGTTTTAGTTTCATAGCGTAGCGGGACACTGGATTGGATTCCTAGCGTTTGCATGATGTGACGGAGTTTTAAATCTGGATATTCGGGAACACAGGATACAAAGGGACTTGTATGGTTTTATTGCTTCTCGCATTGCATTGTTTGTTTTCAAGGCATCAGATTTGTTTCGGAAGATATCCGGCGTATTGTTCTAGCACTATTTTAACAGGTTTATCGATGGTTATCTTCTCTTTCACTACGTGATCCATAGAGCATATAAACAGCCACACAGGTGATTGCGCCATCGACAGTATCTGTTAAATAAACAAAATTACACTCGTTTGTGTATGTATCTTTATCGAATTGACTGTTTTACAAAGCGCCACTTCTTCCCTTAAGGCCCAACGTTGCCGATCCCTCCCAATGG